TCTTTATTTTATTCTGTGCAAATTCATGGAGGATAACACTGAAGATAATTAAATTTTATTTCACTTGTTAAGTAGGTGTTTTATACAACCCTAAAAACCTTGCTATTGAAAAAATAAAACTTGTTTATTTGGTATGGCTGGATTCAGTTTTCTATAAGCTTTTCAACGAGCCGCCTCATGACCTATGTTTCCATTTGAAAAAAAAAGTAGGGGTAGCTGGGTGTCAGGGGGTTGAAGAAAAATTAATTATTATATAACCGAAAGATGGGAAAAAATCAAAATCAGTTAACGTGTTTCGGCGTTTTAAAAAAAATTTACTCATTCAAAAGATATGGATTTTATTCCGTACTTCTGGCCATCCATCCGTTATAGAATACGTGACTACTTATATTATAAGCAATTTAAAAAATCCAATCGGTGGTACAGTCAACTTCAATTGCACCACTACGTAAAAAAAATTCCCCCAAATATTTTAATTTTCTGTTCTTATTTGTTATGAGCGTCATTTCTGAATAAAATAAAATATAAATAATATCTACAACATGTAAATTTGTAATTACTTATACTTTTTTATTCTACCTTAAGCTCAAATTCAGAAATCTAGGTATGCCTAAGATCTATATTTAACATTGAATTATACCATGACAATGCCTAGAAAATAACTAGGTAGTTATAAGTAATTATGCAAAATGAAAACTAATAATGATATGTCTAAATTCAAATTGTTAAATAATGTAATCATTCAAAGAAATATCTTGAATTCTTGCAAATCTATTATCACCCTTGATAAAAACTCATCTCCTAAAAAAGCTAAATTAATAAATGTTAACAGAAAATAATCAAACTTTTAGAAAAAAATATATTTTGATCAGAAAGACCAAGGAAGTGGTCAAGAGTATCCAAATAAGCATGGATCAATTGACCAACACGTTCTCCAGAATTAATTCTTAATTCCCTTGGACCTTGGATGAATAACAAAGTACTTTCAGTAAGAGTTTCTGTTCCTTTGCCTTTCTTCACCGAAGAACCTGAGCCCTGACCAGCAGGGACATTAACAATAATTCATACTGTATTGTATCGTAAAAGAAATAAAAACGTATTTTAATCCAAAAAATCTATTTTATCTATACAGGGTATTTGTAAATAAGTGCGAAATATTTTAGGGGGTGGTTGCCTAAGTTATTTTGTGAAAAAAAGTTCATATTAGGTACATTACATTTTCATTTTTTATTTATTTTTATTAATTATTCCAGAGTTTTAAAAATATTGACTCGAAATTTGATGGTTGTATTTTATTTAGGAATATTGACAGCAACCTACTATATAACGTATAAATAGAAATTAAAAATACACAACTTGCAATAAAATATGTTTTATTTTGATGCTCAAAAACGGTGCATCCTACGAAAAAAAAAATGAAGCGACTAATTTCATTCAGAATTGATGGCGGATTTCTAAGAAAATATCAAAACGGGAAAAGTCAGTGACGTACCTTTTTTTTATTAAAAAAAGTTGAGGCATTCTCGCACGAACACCACTGGTACGAGTAGAAATATTCGGATCACCCCAAAAAATGCCCATTTATCCCTCCAAAGCGTTTTTCAAATTTCGAGTCAATATCTTTAAAACTCTGAAATAATTAATAAAAATAAATAAAAAATTAAAATGTAAACAATCTGTATCTCGGAAAGGAAGCATATTTCGACCTACATTTATATACTTTTTCACAAAATAACTTCGGCAACCACCCCTAAAATATTTCGCACTTAAACATAAAACAATAAAACACACCACAGAAATGACTTACTTATTTACTAACACCCTATATTTACCTTACATTTACCTTATATTTTTAATATTCTGAAAATAACGTGGAAAATTTCAGGGCACGCCTCTGCCGCTATAAATTGTTACAGTAGTTTAGAACTTTATTGGCTTATTCTTTTCTTGGAATTCTATCTCAACAAATCAATATTTTACGAACTGTACCTATTCTAAATTTTAAACTTATAACCAGTGGCAACTGGTGTGGGGGCTGTGGGTCGCCGCGCCCCCTAAGAATTTCCATAGTAAAATAAATTAATTTAAAATTTAGTATACAATGTTATCTAGCTAATTATATAGATTAGTCTTATGAAAAAGGGAAATGTTACATTTGTAATGCGCAGTCAATTTAACTCGATATGTAAAATTCATTTGAAAAACATTGAATACGTGGGCTCATCGTAGCTCGCTCCTAAATCTGTAAAGTGTTTACAGCAGTGGTCATGGTTACAGTCGCGCAGCAGTGGGAGACGGAGTAGGAGTAGCGTATATTTACAATGCAGTTTGCGCTCTGTTTAGTTCGACCATAACCAAATAGTTATTCAAAACTTTCTTTTCTTATTAAACGTAATTTGTTTACGTGTGGTGTAAAATTTTGTTACCTATGTATTGTTTCTTGTGTTTTTAAAATATTGTAAAAGTTATAATTAATTAGATTGTAAAGACAGTACTTGCAATACTATCTATTGAAAAATCAGTTTTGCGAGAAATACTAAACTTTAATGAAAAAATTATTGAAAAGTTTATTTCAGACAAAAGCAAAAGAATGGACTCGCGCTGTAAAAAAATGTTGAGCACATTTCCCTATATTTCAAAACTACCCAAGTAGGTTATTATAGCCGGTGCTGAGACTCCCCCCTCCACTTTCGACCTTGGGTGACCTTGGATGACCTTGGGTAACCTTGGATGACCTTGGGATGACCTTGGATGACGTCATCCGTGACCTGGATGACATTGATAGAGGTCACGGTGACCTTCACTTGACCTGGATGACATTGGTAGAGGTCACGGTGACCGTCATTTGACCTCTGCATATGGGAGGAGGCATTCGACATTGAATGACCTTGAAGTTACGTCATGACAGTTGGTGACCTTCAAATATCTTATCAATTACCTTGACTGTCCTCTGTAATTGCCATACATAGAAATGATGAATGAATTGAGTTGAAATTGGAATGACGTGTTCGAATTGTAGTGGGGGATTTTCCATATAAGAGAGTAGATCGCCCTAGAGAGACACATTTCGTTCAGTGTCAAACCTAGATAGTTATTGTCTACAGTAGTGTAAATTTTTGTGTTTTGTGATTNCACTACACAAATGCATTTTGCTATATTCCACGTTCCTGACGAAGAACTCGACTCTAAATGATTTCAGCTTACCCCATTCCCTCCTTTTAAATATCGGGTATGAGAGTGTGGGCGGAGCATTCCTTGTTTACTAAATGACGTCACTTCAAAGTCATTCAATGTCGAATGCCTCCTCCCATATACAGAGGTCAAATGAAGGTCACCAACTGTTATGACGTCACTTCAAAGTCATTCAATGTCGAATGCCTCCTCCCATATGCAGAGGTCAAATGAAGGTCACCGTGACCTCTATCAATGTCATGCAGGTCACGGATGACGTCATCCAAGGTCATCTCAAGGTCATCCCAAGGTCGAAAGTGGAGGGGGGAGTCTCAGCACCGGCTATAATAACCTACTTACCCAATTACATTTGATTTTTTTTCAATACTTTATACCTAAATTTTTCGGCCTTTCTGGTAAGGAAGTCATGAGCCGCCAATATTTTTGTCAATTGGCGTAGAAATTTAAAATTTTCTACTACTTACTAAATACCCCCTTTCTACGCATATGGATTGATATTTAACGTAGTTTTAATATGTTACTTTTTGTCCCACAAAGCTGTCACCGTACCAAATTTAAAAAATAGATATTTACATTATTTCATTTTTTTATCAACATAAGCGGATTTGTCTCATTGTAGAATATTTATTAATCCAATAAGTTAATAATATCTATGTGTTGCGGGTCATTAAAGTAAATAGTCCATTTTTACAAATGAATTAATGTGTATCCACTTTAATTTAATATTTTAAAAATGTTACAATATTAAAAAATAATAATAAAAACGTCCAACTTAATTTATTAGGAAGGCCATACTATGCTTTCAATCCAATCTATATATTCTGACACTTTAGTGTACACTCCTGGAATTTTGCCTCCACAGTATGATCCGTAAGAGACAATTCCCACAACGGAATAAACTCCATCATGGATTTCTATTTGAAGTGGTCCTCCTGAGTCACCCTAAAAATATTTTCTCATTTATAAAATGAAGTACAGAGACAAAATTATACCGGGTGGCCAAATGAAAACGAAACAGAGCCATTTTCAGGAACTGCGTCAAGATTGTAGATAAACGCTCAGACCCGTCGATTTTAGATTAAAGGGGGACATTCTTTGCTGGTATTTTTGCCACTTTCACCCCCAAGCAAGGGTAAGCATCACCCCAAAATATTTAAATGGCATTCTCTTTACAACAGACTTACAGACTTTAAATTTTATAATTCCGCCCAATACTTATTGAGAATTTTGATATTAAAGTTGAAACTTATGTGCAAACAATTAGTAACGGTAAAAATGTCAATCATTCGAGTTAAGCCAGTGGTATAAATTTAGTATTTCTTGCGTTACATTGGCTTTTGGCGATTTCTTATCACTTTCGTAAAGAAAAACAATTATAAAAAACAGAAATGAATGCTATACACACATAATGAACGTAAAATTAGTGAATTCCAAATTATTTTCTAGTATTATTTGGAAGCGTTGGTTGGTAGTCTATTTAATTGTGTTTTTGAAAATTAAACACTATGGTTTATTCCATTGCGGAAAGGGTAGATATCATTTCGCTTTACTTTATGAACAATAAATGTGCGAATAGAACAGCTCAGCTATTTAATGAATACCATCAAGATCGACATGTCAGGAGGAAGTATATTCTAGAGTTAGTAAAAAAATTTCAAGAGACAGGGAACGTAGCATGTACGGGCTGGAATTTTCGGTGACCGGCTGGTGGGTGCTTTTTTTCTACCTGGTAATTTGACTGGCCAAATGTATTTGCAATTACTGGAAGACGCTATTGACCCTGCCTTGACTAATATTATTGAAAAATTTCCAGAGTATGATGATTTTTCAACAAGACGGTGCTCCTCTGCATTATGCATTAATCGTCCGTCAGTATTTGGACCAACGTTTTCTACGGAATTGGATTGGGAGAAGGGGCAGCATTGAGTGGCCTCCACGATCACCGGATTTATCCCCCCCTAATTTATTTTTGTGGGGATACCTAAAAAGTAAAATCTATAAAATACAGCCAGCGTCGCTGGAAGATTTGTGTCAAAGAATCGTCGATAAATGCCGTAGAATCACTCCGGAAATGCTTCGGAATGTGCGTGAACGTTTCGAACAAAATCTTTATTCTTGTATGGAAGCAGGCGGTCATCAGTTTGAACATTTAATCAACTAAGTAGTAAGTAACTAAACATAATTTAAATTTTAAAATGTAATTTTTTTTCAAAGTATTGGGCGGAATTATAAAATTTAATGCTTTGAGGCTGTCGTAAACGTCATATTTTGGTTTATCTCGTCGAGCTACTCCAAATTAGTACAAAAGAATTTAAAAATACAGAAGTGGCTAAAATGAACCACAGTATTTTTTATTGAAAATATAAGTATTCAACTTCAGTATCTGTAGGAATGGTCTATGTAGCACTTAGCGGCTTGTGAAATTTTTTGAAAAAAAAAAAAAATATCTCGGCTCCAGAAGGTCGTAAAGCAACGTTTTTTTTTAAATTCGCGTTAAAATGCCAGCAATCGACTCCTGTAATAGACATTATCGAGAAATGGTTATCACTCTTTTTTACCATGAAAGTACAACTCTTAAGAAGAAAAATGAGCCCTGATTCGCTTCTCTACGACTATGCGTCGAGCAAGAAAAGCCGATTTTTGGAATGAGCTTTTTTTTTTCGAAAAATCGTTATAACTCGAAAAATTTTTAATATTTATAGTTTTAAAAATAGGTACTTTTGTGCTTGCCGAAGGCTACATTTACATCCAGTAACAAGTTTCAGAACCTTAATTTGCAAGAGATACAGCAAAAACAAAAAAAGTCGATTTTCGACGGTTTTTTCGATATATCTCGAAAAGTAATATAACAATTGATATATTTAAAAATACGAATCGATAATAATTTTATTAAATGAAATAGATAGATACGTACTTGACAAGCATCTGCTTCACTGGACCCCGCACAGATTTGTGTATTATCAATGGTTCGACTCAGTCTAGTGTAGTATGTACTGCAATTTTGCTGAGACGTTGGAGCGACTGTCACCTTCTGCAGAGTGTTGCTTCTGTCATCTCCTGTTTCTAAAGTATAAAAATAATAATAATGTAATTTTTGTGTTCGATTTGAATTAAAATATATATATTCCACATTATTCGTTTGCATTTTCTGAGAAATATAGAGGTCATGGATAAATTTTACTAATGGCATCGTGTTTAGTGCCTCAAAATACTGCAAAAATTATACAGAGTGGCATAAAAGTATGGGAACTTTCGGAAAAACCAAATATAAGGAAAGTTAGGATTTTTCCTTGACCACTGACCGCGTGGTCATGATGGGGTCAAAACAATTTTTTAATGGGAACCGCCCTTTTCGACCCCGGAAATGGAAAGAGCGGAAAATTTTACGTTCAGATATGACCTTGAATATTTCAAAAATTTCAAATAGCAGCGAAATCAAGATGGAGGACGAAATTTTTGAAAGTTAACCGATTGTCACCATTTTGTATAAGGAAATTTTCAAGGTCGCTGATCACGAATCCGAGGTCAGATTTTTAAAATTCAAGATGGCAGATCCAAGATGGTGGATGGGCTTTTTTAAGTTTAACCAATGGGGACCAAATTTGATATATGGGAATTTCGGGGGTCACTCATCCAACATTCGTGATCAGTAACCCCAAAAACGGCCGTATACCATCTTTGATGCAAATCGACTGATTTTCAAAAAATTCGTCCACCATCTTGAATCCGCCACCTTGAATTTTTGGATTCGTGATCAGCGACACCAAAAACCACCGGATACAACGTTTGGTGCAAATCGGTTGATTTTCGAAAAATTCGCCCGTAATATTGGATCCGCCATCTTGATTTTTTAAATCCTCGGATTCGTGATCAGTGACCTCGAAAACCTCCGTATACAAAATTTGGTGACAATCAGTTAACTTTCAAAAATTTCGTCCGCCATCTTGATTTCGCCGCCATTTTGAAACTTTTGAAATGGTCAAGGTCATATCTGAATGTAAAATTTTTCGCTCTTTCCATTTCCGGGGTCAAAAAAGGGGTTCCAATTTTTCCCCACCACTGAATAGCCAGGGAAAAATACTAACTTTCCGTATATTCGGTTTTTCCGAAAAATGCATATCGCGAGATTTTTTGGGGTTCCCATACTTATATGACACCCTGTATATTTGGACAAAAATTAGGAAGAAATCAGTTTTGACGCATAATAATAATAATAATTTTTATTTGCTCTAAGACAAAATACAAATTTGTATAGGAATTGTCAAAATAATTGACTTAAACCATAAAAAATTTAAACTATAACAACAACTTAACTGTCGATTAAAAAACTTTTTAATACATTTTTAAAAACTTTTAAATTTTTAGCATGCTTAATGTGATCACTTAAATGATTAAAAATCTTAAGACCAAGACATGTCGGTGAATTGAATGAAATTTTATATTTATAAAAATTTATATGTTTATAATTTTGCCTTGTAATGCAGTGAATATCCCTATTCATCAAAAATTTATATTTATCTATATACACATATACATACAGATAGTTCATAAATCCACAGACAACATAAAATTAAAACAACCTAGACTCGACTAAACCGTAATATATATTAAGTAGTTCTTCTTTAATTAAAACAGATTTTACATTCCGAATTAAATATGTCATGTTAATTTAACATTCAACTGTTCACAATGTAATTTCCAATTTAGACCTTCGTCAATAGCAATTCTCAAAAACTTAATAGTAGTATTACTAACCAAATTGCACTCTCCAATTTTTAAATTCAATGAATTACAAATTTTTTGACGATTGTGAAAGCTTATATACTAAGTTTTCTCCACATTACAATGTTGTTTGTTAGAAACGTACCAGTTATTTAAGATATCTTGCACCCTATTGCATTTATGTTCTACATCATTATCAGATTTAGCTGAAATAATAACAGATTGATCATCGGCATACATAGAAAGAAATATTTCTAGTATTAAAGTATCCAATCCATTGGTGTATAAAATAAACAGTATCGGGCCCAGAACTGAACCTTGAGGAAATCCTATTTCAACTGCTTAACTCTCCTAGTTAAAAATTTTGTTTAAGCCACCGTTCATCACAATGATTAGTTAAGCTAACATATTGTCTCCTATCTTTCAAAAACGAGGTGATCCAATCTAAAGGTACGCCCCTTATATCATATGCATATAATTTTGTCAATAATTTATTATAATCCACACAATCGTTCGCTCTCGTCAGGTCGCAAAAAATACCTACGGGACATTCCACCTTTTCAATGCATTCAATTAATTTGTCATAAAATACAAGTAGGTATAGCTGTATTTGTCGACCTACCAGGTCAAAAACTGTAATAATATAATTTCTATCTAAGAAAGGCAAAAGATGATTCAAATAAGCATATTCAAATATAAGAGAGAAAGTAGAACATATTCGGATAGTTCTTTTTATATAATATAGGTACTATATTACCTAATCAAACACTTTGAAAAAACAACCGTATTAAACGATAAATTAACTAGATATGTAAGTGATTGAGCCAGTTTTCACCCAAATAGTGGATTTTCTGAGAAATATCGAGGTCTTGGGTAAATTTTACTAATAACATCGTATTCAGGGCCCCAAAGTACTACGAAAATGATATATTTGGACACAAATTTGGAAAAATTCAGTTTTGACCCATATTTGGACCAGTTTCACCCAAAAATGTCACTATCTCCGAAATTTATAGTGAAGTCATGAATTTTGAGTACAGGATCGTGTTCAAAGTATCGAATTCCTTCGGAAATGATATGTGGGTCTCTTGGGTTTGTACTTTTTTGTGTGGCTGTATAATCGTTCGATTACAGGCAACTCGGCAACCAAACCGACAGCTAAGCAGCCTGCACTGTAGACAATCGATGCCAATGGTCAGCGGATAAACTGTGCCAGCTCTAAATTAGTGATAAAACTCTACTTTTCGTAGCTAATCAAGTTCCAATGGCGTGTGGATAAATATTTTTAAACAATTTTCCAAGTGTCCTTCTTTTTCTTTTTATTATACAATGCTTGTATGGGTCCATTGTACATACATCTTAAATGTTCAAAGAAAAAGGGTGCTAAAAGTAATCCCATTAAATTGCATGCGGATTTTCAAGTTTTGAGACATGTACAGTGTAAATATTATTTATTAACTGAAAGAAATCATCCAAGTGAGGCGATTTGCTGGGATATTTTTAGCTACTATTAGTAAAATATTTGCATGGACAACAAAAAAAAATCGTTCCCATAAGTAAATAGGATTTGCTGAAACGTGTTTGCTACCACAATAAAAAAATGTCTTGTCCACATTTAACTATATTTTATTCAATTGTCGATCTGCCTCAAGTGGGTTGCTTTACTTAGGGAAATGAATGTACTTTCTTGGAATTTATTCAGTTGGGAATAGTGACGTTTTATTTATAGTAAATTATGATTAGGGCTCACTTAGTCTTACTGAGGCCCCACTTATGAATTTCTGGAACAAACCGGAATTTGTCTCAGTGCGCATGCGTGTATGTTGACCGTTTACTCTCGCTGTCCTGCAGTTAAAACCCTTGTTCTCGTCTTCACCCCTAATAGCTTTCTAGTGAACTAATAATTTTTAAAAAATTCATATATGCAACCAAATTTTTTGACTCTAAAGACAAGGAGGCCCACGAAAAAGTGTCTTAACGGGATTCACCGCCAAAAACCCCTGTGTACTAAATTTAGTTATTCTTGTACAAGGGGTCCTGAGATATAAAAAAAAGACTATTCTTAGGAGCGGATTTCAGTAGGTTGTAGAGTTGTTTCAAAATCTTATGAGCTTTGACCTTGATATGCGCAGAAACATAATTCCGACCGTCGCCTAAATTATTCTACGTCCTAAAAACATTACATCCATTATTCACAGTCTATCTCGAGCCCTCGTAGCGTAAACAAGCCTTTGCTCCAATTACAAATATCATAATAAAATGCTCTATTCTTTATTATTTTAATTTAAACAATAAAAATATATATAACGAACGTTCGTCAGTTGACTTTATTCATGCCCGAACGCCTTAGTTCTTTTCTGCTGTAATGAGGCACGTGGTCTAATTCTGAGTCAATATTTTCACAACGTGCTTATTAGAAGAATTATGTGGATACGCCACGCCTTTCGCGCATTTCGCGGCTCAGATTTTTAAACTACTCTAACTCCGAAAGAGGGCAAAAATAAAAAATACGGGTCCCCGAAATTTGTCTTAAAAATCTGTGACCAATTCTTGTTACATTAATTTCGGGATACCCGATATGCTAAAAGGTAGGTTTTAAAAACTTGATTAATTAAAAGATTATGAGTTTATAATCCGGGGAATAAAAATTTATGGATACAAATATTTATTTGGTAACAAAAGAATAATAAGCAGATTACCCAACACTAATTAAAAAAAATTAAATACCTACCAGAACTTAGCTTTCCCCATCCAGTCACAATCATAGAATTAGGAACGTCGCTCTGGAGATAAAGACATGCAGGATATATTTTTTCGGTGAAACTAATATTTTTTTCAATCTCTATTAATGCTATGTCGTTGTATGTGTGCGAATAATTGTAATTTGGGTGTAGTGCAGCTCGTTTTACAGAAAAGTCTTGGGGATTTTCTCCATCTAATTTAGTGATTCCTAAACGAACAATTTTTGGTGTCCTTCTAGTGCAGTGAGCGGCTGTAAGCAAAAAGCGATTTGATATAACAGATGCACCGCATTGAAAGTCGATACCATCTGTGTCTTCGTATCCCAGCGCTGCCTGAAAATGATTACATAAAATATAGATGAATTTTTAGTGCGTATTTTTTAACAATGAAACATTTTTTAACTAATTATTTGTATACATGTTCTAGAAGCAGCATGCAATTTAATTTGGTGCCCATAAGAACACAATGGGTTATAATTTCTCTAAGGCAAAAGGATATTAAAAGTAAATAAACAGTGGCTTTTCGATAATATTTTACATATTTTTATTACAATTTCCGAAAACTCAAACAATCGGTTTAAATTAGTTACAGAAATATCTACAACTTTCCTCATCAAAAGCCCATAGTGTTATACCTCGTTGGAAATGTCTTTTCACGCTTTATCTCGTGGTGAATGCGTAATGTCATTTACCTCAATTTGGAAACCTATAGATGGCGTTGTTTCAAAAGAATTCCATTTTATAGATTTTTCCCAAAAATTTTAAATGCAAGGCTATAGTTTTCTTTACATAAATGAATTCAGCACAAAAATTGATACATCTAGTACCTATAAGGGTTTCTAACGAAAATGTTGTTTATTTATTGGCGCTATTTATCCAAGTTTTGGTTGTTCCACGCTCTCTTAAAAAAGTAAAAAGCAGGATAACTTTTTATAGATTAATTTGAATTGTTGTATTATATTGCATTATATCTATAGTTGAAAATGGATATGTTAATGGATTAATATTTTTTTAATAAATTTTGATTATGTTGCAAAAATTTTTTTGTATAAAATTAGCAATAAATATAATAAAAAAAACTTTATATATAAAAATTTCAAAAATTTTCTAGTACAAGTTTGAAATTTCTAACGAAAGTGTTGTTTATTCATTGGCGCTATTTATCAAAGTTTAGATTGTTTCACGTTTTCTTAAAAAGTGAAATAGCAGGATAAAACTTTTTATAGGTTAGTTTGAAGAGCATAAAAATAGCTACATTTTGACGCCAAAAAGGGTCTGATATCTTTTTTTTGATCAAGTTATTCGCTAATTAATGAGCAAAAAATAAATAATGATAATTATTTGAGGAACACGACGCTAACGAAAAGACATTTAATTACAAAATCAAAATGCGTTTATATCAGAACCTACCTAAACCCACGCAAATGAGTGAATCAATAACAATCTTGAAAATAATAACAGAAAATACAACAAAACAATAACAAACAGACATTGATATTATGTAACGAAAGAACAATTAAATTTTAACAAAAATAAAGATGTTTCGTTTAACAATAATTTTTGTGGCATATTTGTAAATTTAAAAAAAAAATCAGTATAAAAGATGCATTTTTTCTGGGGTTCAGGGCTATTCTACGAATTCGTAAATATGCCCATTGTTATTTTTTCGTCGAGCTACCCCAGTTTTAAAAAAAAGAAGTTTCTACGATGAATAGAAGCCGAGATATTGCAAAATTTTACACCGCGCACAATTTGAACTTTGCCGGCGCCAGACAGTTTACTTAGCAAATACCTTCTCTTTAAAAGGCTCGTGAGTCGTTAATTTTCCACATTTTTAAATGCAATTCACGGGAAATCGTAGTTTACGTCGTAAACTTTATTTTGCGAAAAATGCAAGTCTTAATGTTTATAAACAATACGATTTTTTTTTAAATTCTTATATTGGCTCCTGTTGGTCGGAGAGAGCGTGATTTTTTTTAAATTGTATTTTTTTGCCAGTTATCCATTGAATCTATTTTCGGTGAGATAGCATAAATAGCAACAATTTTATGCAAATTGTTTATAAGCGAGAAACGCACGGTTTTTTAATGCACAATTTGAGAATGTTAATGTCAAAAAACAGTGATATTTTTTAATAGGTCGCGTAATTACGTCTTTAAGATTACAATGACGCTTTCAGAATTATGTTTGGCTGAAAGTTAACGCCTGTACAGAGGCTTAAAGTTCATACCTTTTGGAGCCTCCGTTATAAACAAATTGGATTGTGCGAAAACTATTGCACCTACAGCGCCCACTTTTGGCACACTTTTAAAGTATGACAAAACCCTCAACTTGTCATATGTTAAATATGCTAAAAAAATTTTAACATTAAATGCGATAGTTATAAACAAATTAAAAAATGGGCACTTTTCTTGTTTTTTTGCAATAACGATTTTGTTTATTAACCAATTTTAATTTAACAAGTCTCATTTTGTAGATAATTTTATTCCCTACAAGCTGTCTGTGAGTCACTTTTCGCTAAAATTGATGGGTGTCCCTGCAAAATGAAAAAACTGTTTTCCTCACTTAAGTATTTGTTTAAATAGAAAAGTTAGCTAATAAATTTTTTTGACTCACGAGATGAGATATGTCTTGTATGTATTATGTTCCTTTAGACAATTTTACAATAATCTAGCGGATAGGCCTTTTTTCAAGTAAAAATTTTATTTGCTTGGCCTAGATATGCAAAAACTGTAAGCATTCAGTACACGCTATTTGTCAATACGGTATTCAGTTATGCAATTTTAACGTTTATTGTATTCGTAAATATCCTACGCAAAAACTCTCTGATGTGCAGATTTATAAAACGTATCAGTTTTGGATTCTGAAATGACATCCTGTAACGTAAAAATTCCATCCCTAAATTTAATCCCCTTCTAGTGGCAGTTGCAATCCCTAAATTTTTAAAATGGAAGTAGGGGCTTGTGATAACATTTATCATTTGAAAGATCTTTTCATTCTCTATTCAAAAATGCAATAGTTTTAATATTTATTGCAAAAATAACTCATTTTGAACATCTACTACGTTGAAATTAATAGTCTTTTAGTGTGCTGTAACGAATTTTGCGAGGTAGATGAATTTATTTTTTTACTGCTCATTTTTGCAAATATAAAAACCATAACATTTTTGAATAGAGAATGAAAAGACCTTTCAAAATAAGGTAGCACAAGACCCTACTTACCATTTAAATATTTAGGATCTCACAATCCAAAAATTGATGTGTTTTATAAATATGCACGATAATTGAGATACTAAATTTATTTCATTTGGCTGTTTCGTAATGCTTACATATACATGCGCATAAACAGGTTCAGCAGATTTGACCGAAACCAATTTCTATGAGGCAAAAAATTGGTAATTTTTCTCCAAATAGTTCTAAAACAATATAAAGTATCTAGTATATTACATAAAGTTTGGTATGCTAATGCTAGTAGGTATATGAATGTTACTTTTCAACATAGTAATTAAAGTGATTTCATTTACAGAAATGGAAAGAATACCCCCACCATTAACCAAATTGCTCAGATTTCTATATTTTTTTTTATTAAATTATATTTTACTGATAATGATGGCCAATTTAAAAATAATTACTGGAAAAATAACGTTCGCTTACAAGTTGTTGAAATCCACGAAGTTTTTTATGACAATTAAATCATATTTGTATTGAAAATACGTTGGTGATAACTGACAAGCAATAAAATAATTAAACAAGAACCGTTAAAAATACAAAAAATTTAAAAGGCTGAAAGAAACCTTACGGATAATTAAGCAATATAGTTTACGACACTTATAAAATATAAGAGCAATTTGGTTGGAAGTGGGGGTATTTTGTCCATTTGTGTAGATGCAGTTGTACCTATCGATTATTACCTCAAAAAGTGGCATCTGTACAAAAATAACAGCACATCAAAGTTTATTTGAATGCATTTTAGAGATATTTGGGGAAAACTAAACATTTTTTAATCTTTGCCGTTCTTTAACGACGAAATTAAGCAACTTTGGATAAAAATAAGTTTCGTTTAATTGTCGTATTTCCCTGTATATGGAGTATTGGACCAGTATGTATTTGCACTTATTACGAGTCAGGTACTAGTTTGCAGTTTAATACTATATAGTAATAAGATTAATGATCGTTTTGGGTGAAAAATTGATGCGCTTGAATGTTATATGCTATAAAATAACTAATGTATAAAAATATGTAATAAAATACTACCATATGTGGAAATTCATGTTCCTTGGCATCTCCACCACCAAAAATATGTGGTGCAACCATTGATTTAACATCTTGGGATATGCTATTACACACTGAAAATAAAATACAAACATCAATTGCGTCCTAAATATTTTATAATTCTAGAAATTTTAACTGATTGTTCTTAATTTACCACGCCCCAAACAAAATCAAAGAAGAGGGAATAAATTGAACGTAACGTATAGGTACATAGATAAATAATATGTATTTTTGGAAAATTTACTACATGATTTATATACAGAATGGCATAAAAGTATGGGAACCAAAATAAACTCGCGAGATATGCATTTTTCGGAAAAACCAAATATAGAGAAAGTTAGGATTTTTAGGGTCAAGACGATTTTTTTGACCCCGGAAATGGAAAGAGCGGAAAATTTTACGTTCAGGTATGACCTTGATCATTTCAAAAATTTCAAAATGGCGGCGAAATCAAGATGGTTTACGAAATTTTTGAAGGTTAACCGATTCATCTTATTTTACCATCAAATATACAAGGTGTCGCATAATTAGTGTCCAATAATTTACCACTTGATTCTACTACCAAAAATAAGAATATTTCCGACGACCCCACATGAGACGCCCCTGACTAAAATTTTATGATAAACTGTTTTGACTTTTAATGAGTTCATAGTATCAAAATTCATAAATTTCCTTCAACCCGTTTCGGAAATATTTTAAAAAAATGATTTTTTTAAGGCCCATTCAGGGGGGCCTAACTCAATTAGGAAGCGTTTCTCGGTCCATGTTTATATGAAAAAAGTTATTTAAGTTATTTAAGTTAAGTTAAGTTATTTCAAATAAATGAGATAATTTTTTCATATGCAAATAGATATAATATTTAGAAACTGAACAGCTACATGCAGTGGACTAGGCCTACAGGGGACACCACTTTAAAGCGCGCCGTGATATTTATCTCATAGATGGTGTGGAAATAATATCTTATATTCACGGACAGAAATGCATATATGCACGCTCGCACGCATACACACGCATACAAAATTGATTATGTACTAGTATAGTAATTTTTTCGCCACATGTGCATACTTCAGTATTTATACTCTGGATAGACTATATAAAAAGTAAAAAATATACATATTTTCGAAACAGGATCAGGTAGGATTTTAATTCAAACGGATTTTTCATTGGAAATCAACAAGAAATCGAATGCCGCTTTCCGTTTTCTTTGTCATTTTCATGCAACCTATCGCTCCTTCAAGCCCAGTGTGATGTGGAATCATCGCTAGTAGAGCTTAGTTGGCATTCGAACTTTATGCTTTTTTACAAAGTTAATGGGACAACCAATCAACTAAAATAAATTGGGCAAATATTTAGCAATATGAATCGATCCCGGCAAAAATTTGCCTGTGATTTATTTCATTCATAGTTTTAAGCTATAAGCACTGGCTCCATTTTTTTCTTCCAGCCCGGAGAAACATCTATGTATCTATGAAACATCAGGATATATAAAGGGTGTTTCAGAAAACATGGGCCAACGCTCGGGGACAGATTCCTAACCTAAAAACAAGATTATTTTTTCATATCAACCACTTTCACTTCGTTGCTTAACTACAGGGTGACAAAGTTTTAAAATAAATTATGTTTTTTCCAAAAATCTAGATTTTCACTTGAGGAAATTAAATGAAATTTGGACAACTAACTATTTGCCACCGAATACACATTCCTAGGTATTATTATGTTGAACATAAATTACAGGACCGGACTTACTTGCAAGCCTTTGGATTTAATCAAAGAAAAATTGGTTATCCGTTGTGTGTTGCGCAACTTATAAATTACCTGATAACTTTGGTCCTTTGCATGTTTCTGAAATTTCTAATATTTTTCAAGTTATTCACGAAATAAGTTTTTTTTGCAACGAAAGAGTAGTCGCAGATTTAGTGAGTTTTGCAATTTTCCGGCCATTTTCCGAATTGTCCCGGTCCGCTCCCGTGAGAACAATTTTTCCCTCATCTACTAACAAAAAACTAGCCACATACAAAAAATTGTGCACTTCGAAATTAATTTCATCTTTAAATACAATAATTTTGACTAGGGCAATAGGACTATCGTGGCAGTATCACAGTAGTATTAGTACCAGAATTACAACGATACGACAATTTCCCATTGCTATTGCTATATTCTATTGTCTCAAATAGAACTTACTTACTTATCTCTATGTCAGCATTGTTATACATCTTCAGCAAAATCTAGTTAAAAATTTATCGATGAGAATATTAATATTAGAATTACCTTCTCCGCTTTTTCTTGTACTAACTACTACTTCATCGGAAGATCCTCTATTTTGTACTGATGGGCAACACACTAATTGATCTAGACTAACGAAACCACAGCCTGTTAAGTTGGTAAAACCATTAATTGCTAGCGAGTTTTTAGCTTCTGTGCAGTCTTTCACTAGTAAGCACACCCCTTTTCCGCCAGACAATTTGCAAGGTGATCCTGCTGTAATAATACAATAGTTGGTATTATACTTATAACAACTATACTACCAGAACAAAAATAATATACCTAATGAGAATAATTCATGTAGTACAAATCATAAGTAAAAATACTTGAAGTTTCATTAAACAATTACATATTATCAACCCACTTGTTCTTGCTTGTCAAGAGATTCACATAAATATTGTATTAAGCAAGCTAAATTTGTCATACAAGATGTTTTTTCCATAATAGTCCAATCAATAGGTAGAAGAGCTTACAAAAAATACCACCTAGAAACAGAAAATATGATGATATAGGAAAAAAATTTTGCCTGTGGCGCATAGACGGCGAAGATAACCTAAAAAATTCATAAAAGTCAAAAAACCGGTTTTTCGCTAATGAAAATAAAACTTGAACTCCAATCGAAAAAAGTTAAATGAGGAAGTTGTAGTACCAGAACACAGTGCGTATGCAGCGGTATTTCAGATTTTACATTCAATTTCATTTTAAATTTGAAATGGTTCATCTTACGCCTCATAAAAATGATGAAGTTGTAGCTATTAAAAAAACCTATCGATTCGTATTTTTAAATATATCTATAGCTATATTACTTTTCGAGATATATCGAAAAAAACGTCAAAAACCGACTCTTTTTTGTTTTTTATCTCATGCAAATTAAGGTTTTGAAACTTGTTACTTCCTGTAAATGTAGCCTTCATCAAGCAAAAAAGTGCCATTTTTAAAATTAAAAATATTAAAAATTTTTCGAGTTATATCGATTTTTCGAAAAAAAGGTCATCTCAAAAATCGGCTCGTCTTGCTCGACGAACAGTAGTAAAGAAATGAATCAGGACTCATTTTTTTCCTTAGGAGTTGTACTTTCAAAATAGCAAAGTTATTCATTTCAAGTGTCCAAAAATGACTGAAAAAAGTAAAAAATTTTTGGTCGCGTTTTTCTTGAATATCTTTTTCGATTTTCATTTCTCGATAATGTCTATTACAGGAATCTATTGCTGGCATTTTTAGGCAAATAAAAACTAAAACGGTTTTACGGCTCAGCTCTACGGTTCTGTAGCCGAGATAATTTTTTCATTTCAAAAAATTCCACAGGCCGCTATTTAAGTGCTACAGCGTCCATTCTTACAGAGATTGAAGCTGAAGACTTATATTTTCAATAAAAAAATACTGTGGTTCATTTTAGCCACTTCTTCATTTTTATCTGTGCGTCAAACCGAGGCATTCGTGCGCGGCGCGAGCTAACTGTAGCGGGCGGCTAGTCGGACTCTCCGAAAACTGAATTCGCGAGTTCAAAAGCGCTCTTACTTTCAAAATCTTCATTATCTCGACTTCTGGACCACGTACAAAAATGACTTGAATACTTGAAATGAATAAAATCTTTATCACTCTTTTTTTACCATGAAAGTACAAGTCTTAAAGAAAAAATGTGCCCTGACTTGTTTCTCTACGACTATTCGTCGAGCAAGAAGAGCCAATTTTCGAGATGACCTTTTTTATGAAAAATCGATATAACTCGAAAAATTTTTAATATTTTTTTAATTTGAAAAAAGGCACTTTTTGCTTGCCGAGGGCTACATTTGCAGAAAGTACAAGTTTCAAAACGTTAATTTGCAAGAGATACAGCAAAAACAAAAAAGTCCATTTTTGACAGTTTTTTCGATATACTCGTATCTCGAAAAGTAATATGTATTGATATATTTCAAAATACCAGTTGATAGGTTTCTTAATAGCTACAACTTTCTCATTTAACTTTTTTATTGTAGTTCAAGTTTTTTTTTATTAGCGAAAAAATACACTATATTTCTTGGAATTTGTTTCCTATATCACCATAATTTTTGTTTCCAGGTGGTATTTTTTGTAAATTTAACATTAGGCCGTGCCAGATTGATTGGACTATAAAGCCATGTTGGTCAGGTGACGCATACATTTTAAATGTTGGGTAAATGTGATTGTACAAGATTATATCAAAGAGTTTTGAAAAATTATAAAATGATATTGCCCTATAATTCTGGATAATAGNTAAAATTGAATATTTGTCATAAGATGCAATATAATGTTTAATATGTAATAAAAATATAACTTAATCCGGATCTGCTTAAAGATGCGCGGGATCAGATTGCCTTCCACACTCCACTTCCCCGGATTTTGCATTCACTGGTACCCGTGCATTGGAATTAGATACGGCCAGTCTAGGTGGTCTGTGGCTATGAAGGACTGTGTCGACTGATCTACCTGCCTGATAGGCGTATTGGTACTTGTGTAGAGGATTTGCCCTCAACACTCCGTCCCTTATATGCCTATCAACTATTCTCTCCAACGTTTTCAGGACAAAAATGTTAAACTTATCGGGCGATATGCCTTTGCCTGGGCATACGATGGAAGCCCTGGTTTAGGAATAAACGCCACGTTCGTCGACATAATCATTGAAAAGGACCACCCCAATTCGCTCTCCATGAACCCATCATACCACGTTTTTGCGGTTCCTTTTAATTTGCGTAGAGTTTGAAATATAATTGTAGTATCACACCAATGATAACTAATGGCATTGAACTGAATTATTTCAATCCAATCGTTAATATCTCTGAATTTAGGATCAAAATCCGGTATTATATTTGAAACGGCTATAAATTGCGAGGACTGTGCACTATGCGGCTGTATTATAGGAGGTGTGTGACTTACATTTGATCTGGATTTTGATTTTTTCTTTTGCTGTTTATAGTTACGCTGACCGCGATAGTCGTCTTCACTTGAGGTTGATGAGGACGACGAGGTTAGTTTTTTTTTAACACTCACTTTTCTATTCAACCACTTCTGATGTAGTCTGTGCGGGGACGCACAGAAGTAAAAACAATGTAGTTAGGGAAAAACTATCTATTCTCCTTAACTGGACCTCTAGACACAGAGAATGACAATAGTAATGGCCACATTCGATATCTGATGCCTTGCTAATTCTACATTTTCTTATATAAACTTTATAGAACAACGACGGTTATTGTAAGGATGCAAGGTGATATCACACGCCGGCAAAGAACATGGGCCAGGGTCGGACTGCATTTATAACATACACGTTCTATACTATCATTAATATCGATTTCACATTTGGTACCTACCTCAGAGTAATAAATAAAGGGGAGGCCGCATTCCCTATTTCAGTACACAGTGTAAACATGTAACCACAACGTATTGTATGTTGATAAACAAATGATATATAAGTAAACACAATGGTCCCTGGTACAGTGGCGTACCGAGTTTAGCTTTAAAATCTATCATAATACAAGGAAAACCATATTAGACTTTTTAATAGAATTTGATAAAATCAGAAGTGCTCCATTATCTAAGCTTTCATGTGTAATAAATAGACAATAAATAGGAAAAAGTTGGTGGTTTCTTCAAAATCTATAATTAATATTTTAAAAACGTTTCCAGAACAAAAGTGACTAAAGAAAACTCCTCGATTGAAACTGTCATTATACTATAGCTACCAAGTGAACATAATTTTACAAGTATACAATGCTACAAAATATGACGCATTCAATGTCATTGTCTGCTATTAGTTCTATTATTTCATAGTAGTTTTCGATTACTGGAAAAACTACATTTATTAAAATAAATAATTTAAATAAAACTACAAGGACCAAAAATATATTTCATTAAAATCTGCTGGAATATAAACAATGCAAAGAAAACAAAACATATTTGTACTAAAAGTAACGGAAAAATGAAATTACATTGAACATTTAATCGTATGGGAAAATAAACATGTTTCAAGCACGTTTTAAATGCACGCAACAAAAATAAACTGAATTTTGAGCTCATAACATTAACAGCTCCTCTCTAACGGATCAGGGACAACATGTGATTGAAGATGTTTTATGGCAATATCTATAAAATTTCTTTCACTGGCAATTTCTCGAAGGGGGCAACCTTTGAGACAGCACAACCTTTTCATCAACACTGCTAAAAATGTTTGTTAAATTATTCTTATTACCTACCTTTTTAAAACGTATTACCTTCCAAATGTTGTATTAATAGGAACAGTTCCATGTGTGAGACATCGTTTTCCAGTTACTGTTACCTTAATATCTGTAGCACGGAAATGCTTCGAACAGACATAATTATCCTTTGATAAATCATATTTAGATATGGCTAAATTTTATAGCCACACTGCTCGTATCGCAGAATCTTATGGTATTCTACAAATAAACACAGAGCTAGTGTTAGTATTAAAATACAAACATAATAAATTAACAAATAAAATACTTAAGACACCTTGCACCCTTGTAAGAACGCCCATGGAAACAATGTCAAACTTACTTGTGAAAAGAAGTAGCACATATTTGGCTCTTTTCCTGTAATTGTCGGCATATTATACGCCGCTTTGGCATTTTTATTGAAATTAGATAAAAAAACAGTTTAAAAAGACACAAAACACTGAACTCGGCTAATATCTATTTCACAACAATAGACTGTAATAATGGCGTCCCCTTTAGAACCGTTTAATACCAGGCAATGATGCCACTTACGGCGTTTGTATTGCTAGGAATTTCAATAATGTATTTTTTTTCAGATATTCAAAATCTATAATTATAAAACAAGTTGCAAGAAAATAGTGTCGT